TTTTATACCTACTCTTTGATTCTACAAATTGCTGTATGGTGGCACAGTACAAATGACTTGACCTTGGAAGCAGACAGACTTGGGTTTGAGACCCAGTTCTCCTCCTCACTAGCTAACTGATGTTGAGCAATTTGCCCAACCATCCTGCAACTCAGCTTTTGCACTTGCAAATCAGAAATAGCAATGCCTCCCCATAGGGCATTAAGACAACTGGAGAACTTGTATGCAAAGCCGCTGAGCAGAATGCAGTCCCCAGGAAGGGTAGAAATGGCAATTAGTTATTAACTGTATTATTGTTCACCCGGATGTGAAAAAGAGTAACAGAATGGACATTCACTTGGTGGATACTGAAATACGCAATGAGACTAGGTTTTGGAGTTTCTTGAATTCGTTCTAAGACAGAACTTAGAACTGTTAAGTTCTGTCTGTGCCTTTTTTTTTTTTAACTTTTGTTTTAAAAAATGGATGAGTGTGACTCTTTGAGGAGCAACACTCCAATGACACCCGCTCATTTAATGCTCCCAGGTTTGCTCATTTGTGTTCTTCACTGTTAAGTGGTCCTTCGCTGGACTGAGAGGTTTTTTATTAAATTGGTCTCTTACAGTTTACAGCTTCAATTGGGGCTTTTATGGGGGCTTGTGAAGTTCTTGAGATAACTGCAAGTAACTCATGAAACTGTCTTTTTTTTTTAACCTGATAAAATAACACCTAAAATTACATTTTTACTCCATCCTTTCTCAGATCCTCTCCAATTCTTAGATTCCTTTAATTAACATTCTCACACTCCAGGTCTATAAAAAGAGCCCAAGTATATTTACACCATTTCTTCCCTTCCTTTCATGTACAATCTTTATCAGTTTTTAATGTGCAGTGGATTAAAGAAATTCACCAATTCACCTCCCCGGTTCTGAACACTTGAAGTCATTTCTGAGTGTCAGCTTTTTTTTTGGACCCAGATCTTTGGGTGATTGTCATTGAGTGTCTTTTTGAAGAGAAAATTGGTTTTTAAGTTGTGGAAATGAAAGGTCCCAAGGGTTTTGGGTGACATCAACTTGATATGAGGGCCTGTGACTTTTACTGTTTTGTTTTGTTTTGTTTTGTTTTGTTTTGTTTTGTTTTGTTTTTTAAACAGGGCCTGGCTCTGTCACCCAGGTGGTGCAATCTTGGTTCATTGCAACCTCCGCCTTCCAGGTTCAAGCACTCTTCCCACCTCAGCCTCCTGAGTAACTGGGACTACAGGTGCATACCACCACATCTGCCTCATTTTTTGTAGAGAGGGGATTTCACCATGGTGTCCAGGTTGGCCTCCAACTCCTGAGGTCAGGCGATGCACTCACCTCGGCCTCCCAAAGTGCTGGGATTACAGGTGTGAGCCGCCGTGCCCTGCTCATCTTCTAACTGCAAGTTTGCAGCCTTTGACCACCATCTCCTCCTTTCCCAAACTCCTTAGGCCCTGCCAACCACCCATCTACTCTGTCACTATGACTTTGACATTTATTTAGGAGTCCACATCTAAGTGAGATCATGCCATGTTTGCCTGCCTTGTTTCATTTAGCATAATGTCCTTTAGGTTTATCCACATTGCTGCAAATGGCAGGATTTCTTTCTTTTTAAAGGCTGAATCATATTCCACTGGGTGTATATACCACATTTTCTTTACCCATTCATCTGTCACTGTTGTTTTCACATCGTGGCTACTGTGAATAATCCTGTGAGAAATTCCCACTGTCAGTGGGAATGTAAATTACTACAGCCACTGTGGAAAACAGTGTGGAGATTCCTTAAAAAATTGAAAATAAGACTTCCATATGATCCAGCAATCCCACTTCTGAGTGTATATATATGTATACCCAAAGGTGATGAATTCAGTATCTGGAAAGGATATCTGCACGCAGGGAGGCAGTGTCGATCTGGGAGGATGTAGCCCTCAGCTGCCCTCCAGGTGAGGCCAAGAGCAACGTAGGAGGAAGCTCAAAGTCTGCGATGGCATCTGGTGCATAGCGGACCAAGGTCAGGGGCTGCAGGATGGAGAGGAAGGTGGGAGTATGTTCCAGACCCACCAAGAGCATCGTGTCAGGAGGAGGAGGGAGGGAGTGCATGGCTTTATTCTAGTGAGCTCTGTATACAGTCTTTATTCCTCTCCCTGCCTCTGGCTATTTCCTGAGAGACCCAAATCTGGAAGATGGGGAAGGCCCAGGCACTGCTCCTCATCCCATCCCCTCTGCTCGATAGCTTTGCTTTCTTTAGTCTCTGACCCTCCAGGATATGGTGCTTTCTGTTCCCTTAAGACTTGGAGCTGGTAGGTGAGGACTCCCATTTAAGGTAATAGCAAACTTGCCTGGGGTAGAGACTATTAAGTGTCCACGGCCTTCAGGGCAAATGTCACTGTAGCTAGATCTGAGCAGGTCCTAAAGGCTGGAGGTTTCTTTAAGGTTTCCATGGAGGCCAGGCAGTGTGGTTAGGTAAGCTCCAGGCTAAGCTAGGCCTAATTGTAATTTTTTAGTATTGTTTTTCACTGTCTCTTAATTTAGTAGCCCTTCTAGTTCCCGGGCCATTGAACTGTTATCCTCCGAAACTCTGAGTTCTTTGTGTCTCTCCTGGAGGGGTCCTCCCGGGATTCAGTGTAGCAGGCTTGGCTGCTCCGTTTCAGAGGGAGTTCTGCGAGTCCTCACCATACAGTTGCCCAGAGTGTGCCTGGCTCAGGGTTGAATGGGAGCAGAAATCCAGCTTGTGCCCCATTGGGTCAGGGCCAGCATCCCAGGACTGGGCTGGGTCCCACCAGCAAATGCTTTGAGTGGTCTGTGCCGCATCTTCTCAGCCCCTGGTGAAACCTGGCTGCTGGAGTGGGCATCAGCAGGGCCTCTGACATTACTCCATGTCAGGGGGCTGCCCCTCTGCACACTTTCCTGCTTCAGAGCAGGGCAACTGGGAAGTGCAGGGATGTGAACTCCTGAAGCCTCCTGACCTTGAGAAGGACAATTCTGAGGCACCCACTGCAGTTCCCCAGGGGTCGCTGTGGGATGTGGCTCTAGCTCCCTGTGCTGATAATCAGCTCCCTGGTGCATCTCTTACAGCCTCTAGAAAGCAAACATTCCTCTAGAAAGCAGCAGCCTCTAGAAACCAAGCTTTCCCCATCACCCTTGCTTCCTGGCATCATGGCCTAGTGTCCTACCTACCCTCAAGTCCTTGATCCTGGCTTTACTTGGGGGTACCCCAAACTAGGAACGTTTCCTCACTTCCTGGTGCCCCTTTTTCTAAGGTATTATGCCAAGGCCATAGATGAGCTAGTGGTGGCCTAGCCACCTTGCTGTGGATACATTTGCACCTGTTTCATGTGATGAAATGGTACCCCAACGCCCTGGAGCCTGTACCTTCACTTTTATTCCAAAGGCCAGGAAGGAGAATATTCATGCCCTGGATTATCTCTTTGGATTCTCTAAATCTCACACTCTGGGAGAAGACAGGAGCTGAGTGAGAGGGACAGGAGGTGAAGACCACAGCTGTGCTCCGAGGGGAGGAACAGGGCATTCGAGAAAGCCTGTGAGTTTTAGAAAAGAGGGACTGGAGGAAGGAGGAACGGGGCACAGTCAACCTCTGTCTTTGTTTTCTTAATTCAGTTGGATGGAGAGTTACTGTCCCTGAATAGTGCCCAAGTGTGGAATAACCTACAATAAATCAAGTTAACTCACATAAAGCAGATTTGAAAACTTTGGCACTCTTTGGCAAGTCAAATGACTTTTATTGGAGGATTATTTTGGTTGCTCCATAGTTAGAACTTGCTCAACTTTATTTCTAAATGTTACTTGGGGATGCTCAGCCTTTGGTCTCACCCTGTTGGCTGTGCAAAGGGTCAGCGTGGTCTGGGAATAGTTCCTGTGGTATTTTCGGAGTCACAACTGTACTTTAGAACTCATAACTGTGTAATTTGTGTTTGGATGGCTTTTTCTATACATGAGCTTGCTTAGTTTTGCTTCCAGCTAACTCTACTTTGGTATCTTTCCCTGTCCATTCAGTGAGGCTTGTGAGATTTTATTTTATGGCCTTTCACTAACTAAAGAAATGTAATGTTATTTACAACTTGAAAACATTCACTGTGTACTTGTAATGAATCGTTTATGAAATTAGAATTTTTCCTGGGTTTCTTCACTCATGATCCTCTCCTTAGGCCTCTACGGTGATTCAGTGAGGTGCTTATTATCTCTACCCTCCTTTTTTCTTTTTTTTTTAGAGAAGGCTCCCTCTATTGCCCAGGCTGGAGTTTGATGGCATGATCATAGCTCACCACAGCCTTAAACTCCTGGGCTCAAGTGATCCTCCTGCCTCAGCCTCCCAAGTACTGGGGACTATAGATGTACACTACCATGCCCAGCTAATTTTTAAACTTTTTGTAGAGACGGGGTCTTCTTATGTCACTCAGAATGGTCTCAAACTCCCAGCTTCAAGGGCTCTTCTTCGCCTCATCCTCTGTAGCAGCTGGGATTACAGGCATAGCCACTGTTCCCAGCTACCCCTGATCACGCCTACCTTTTTTTTTCTTCAGAGACAGGATTTCTCTATGTTGCTCAGACCGGTCTGGAATTCCTGAGCTCAAGCGATCTGTCCCCCTCAGCATCCCAAAGCGCTGGGATTACAGGTGTGAGCCACCACAGCTGGCCTTTCCCTACCCTTTTAATTTCTGATAGAAGCTATTTTTCTCTTCATGACAAACGCAGTGAAGGACTCCTTGCCATCTTACCATCTTTCTCTGCCAAGAACGGGCACAGCACATGGGCTGTCATTGACTTCTAACCAAATCATTTCTCCTTTCGTTAGAAGGCACGCAGGTGGTAGTTTTATGGGGGAAAGGTGACAATAATGGCCCAGTAAGGCAAGCGCTTGGGAGCAATGATACAATCTCCTAACAGAGAGACTTTTCTCTTGCCTCACATGTGTGAGCAAGTGCATTATCTGTAAAGTTCTCAGAGTTGCTGGACTTCTATGAAAGCATTTTAATTAGAAACCTATGGAGTTTGAGTTTTCCCCATATTATACAGTTTTGGGACTTTTCACATGAGGTCAGACAAGGCATGCTGGTTTTCCAGTTGGGGGCTGTGCAGCCTAGTAATGGCTCCCCAAAAGTCCTAGTCACAATCCCCAGGAACTCTGAATATGTTACCTTATATGGCAACGTATAAGGTAACTCTGCAGATGTGAGGAAATTAAGGACTTTGAGATGGGGAGATTATCCTGTGTAGCCCAGGGGGCCCAGTGTCATCACAGAGGTCCTTATAAGAGGGAGGTAGGAGGTCAGAAAAAGGAGAATGGCAGGTAGAGATGGAAGCAGACAGTGGAGTGATGCCACTATGGGTTGGCGAATGCCGCAGCCTCTAGAAACTGAAAACGGCAAAGAAGCAGGCTCTCCCTGGGCCTCCAGAAGGAACACAACTCTGTGATGCTTGAATGCTCATTTTCTGATATCCAGACTGTTAAGAGAATAAATTGATGGTGTTGCCAATTGCTGCATTTGTGGTAATTTGTTACAGCAGCTATAGAAAGCTAATACAGTGGTCTTGGATTAAGAAAGGAGGACCCAGGTAGTGAGCCTGAGAAGGGCCAAGGATGGTGGCTTGTTTGTATTTGCGCTCTCCACAAAGGACCCTTCAGAAACACGACACAGATGTAACCTAGGATTTAAGCAGAAGAGAAGGTGCTTGGGTTTAGGGCCGGGCGAGAGAGTAGAATTTCTAACATAAGCTCACAAATGAGCTCAGGATGGACTGTTCAAAATATTTAAGAGCAGTATAGATGCTACCAGGTCAGATCTGTGCCACAGAACATTCCTCAAAGATGGCAATGATCTGCATCTACACCATCAGATAGCTCCCAGGCATGTGTGGCTATTCCGAGCTTGCAGTATGGCTGACAGGACTGGTGCACTGAATTTTTAACTTAACTTATAATTCTTTAAATAGCCACATGTGACTTGTGACTGTCACATTGGACAGTGCAATTCTAGATCAGCACTAAGAGAAATGTAATGTGAAACACATATACAACGTTAAATTTTCTAATAGCTACATAAAATGAAAAGGAAAAGGAAATAAGTGAAATTAGTTTAGTAATATATTTTGTTTAACCCAGTTATTAAAAATATTACCATTTCAGCATAGAACCAATTTAAAAAGTCTTAATGAGGTATTTACCTTTTTTTTCCTACTTTGCACCAAGTCTTCAAAATCCGGTGTGTATTCTGTACATTTTACTTTGGACTGGCCATGCTCCTAGTACTTAATGGATGCAGGGGCCAGTAGCTACTGTCTGGATGGTGCCAACTATTTAGTCGTTGACGAGGAAGCCAGGCCTAGCGGTGGAAATGACTTGCTTTCAGCAGCCTTCCTTCTGCAAGTCCTGTTTGTCTGCTGTCCAGGCTCCTCCTCTGAGAGATACATAACTTCCAGCAGCAAAGCTAAAAGAATCTAACTTTTTTTGTTCCACTTACCAACCGATTCCTAAATTTTGTCGACAAATACTTAATGCAACACTCAAAATACAATTGACAAATTGGTGGGCTGATTAGATTCCTAGAAATCTAAATGGCCCCACTGTCGGTCTGCTGGCCCCTCCACAAACTTACCTACACCGGAACTCATTCTGCTCTGTTTTCTCTCCTACAGTTGTGGGAGTAATTCTCATGCTTCTCTCAAAGGCAGGAGGGGATGTTAATGGCCTTCCTTTTCACTTTCTTCAACCCTTCTTGTCTTCAGTTATTCCCTCTTCTGCATCTTCAATCTCTCTTTCTACGAGATTATTCCCTTTGAACAGCAAATATGGTACAGTATCTCCCATCCCGAACAAAGAAACAAACCACTCTTAATACCACGCTCTCCTTCAGTTATCTTTTTTTTTCTTTTGCTTCCTCTTATGGCAAAACTCTTACTTTCTCCCCTCCTTTTCTCTCTTCAGTCCACCCCTTCCAGGCATCAGTATTCACCTCTTCAGTATTCTTATCAAGGTCACCAAGTGACCTCCATGTTGCCAAATCCACTGCACAGTTCTGTTCTCATCTTACTCAGACTCTCAGCAGCAGCATTCAGCATGGTTGGCGATACCCTCCTGTTTTTAAAACATTCATCTCCTGGCTTCCTCCATCTCTCACTCTCTGGCTACCCTCCACTCCACCGACCATTTCTTCTTAGTCTCCTTGGCTGGCTTCTCCTCAGCCCAACCTCTGAATGTTGGAGGCCCTCAGAAGGTCCTGTCCTCTCCTCTGTCGAAGAATTCTATCTCCGTGGAATGAGGAGGGCATCTCATCCTGTCTCATGGCTTAATCGCCACACGCTGATGACTCCAATATTCATGGCTCCATTCCTACCTTTTCCCTAAAATTCCCGACTTGAATAGCCAACTGCTTCCAAAGATTCTTATTAATCATTTCCCAGAAGTAGAGCTCTTTAATCATCACACACACACACACACACACACACACACACACACACACACACTCCTCCTCACCATGTTCCCCTAATCTCAATAAATGGCACCCCCATCTATTCAGATGCTCAAACCAAAACCCTTCCTGGCCCCACTCTCTATATTCACTCATTAGTGGGTGCTGTCTCCCAGCACAGCCGTGATCTCATTCACGTCCTCGACCTCCACCACCACCACCCTTCACCAGTTCATCATTTACCTCGGCCACAGAAGAGCCTCTTCTCTGCATTCTCTACACAGCAGAATGTCTCTCCGAAACATAAGTTAGCGATTTTCACATGACTTTTAACACCTTCTCCATGCCTCTGGAATGAAATCTGAACTCCCTACCATTTCCTGCAGGTCCTGAAATATCTGTCACCCCTTAGTCTTTCCAAGCTCTTCTCAACACAGTATCTCTTGTTCACCGTACTTCAGGACACTCATCTCCCTCTGTGCTTCCAGTTTCCTAAACTCTTTTCCACATCAAGTCCTCTGTCCTTATTTTGTTCTTCTGAGGTGATCTTCCCCCAGCTCTTTAAATGCTTGGCTCATTCTGCCCCTTCTGGACCGGGTTCAAATACTATCTCCTTAGAAACACCTCCATGACCTGCCACCCTGTGGAACACGGCACCTCCCAGTTCCTGGCATTAGCAAATATTCATAGAGTGCTTCTCAGGCATTGTTATTAGTGCTTTTTATTGATTAACTCTTTAAATTCCCCACCACCCTAGGAGGTAGGTGCTGTTACTGTCATTATCTTACCCATCTTAAAAAAAAAAAAAAAAGAAACTGAGCCCAGAGATAATGCTGTCCAGGGTCACCTAATCTCGAGACTGAACCCTGCACAACCTGGCTCCAGGCTGGCCCCTTCCCCACCACACCCTCCTGCCTCTCTCATATTACTTGTGTGTCCTTCTAGCACTTGTTACAATCTGGATATTGTCCTGTTTAGTTATGTCTGTATCATCATTCTCCTCATTAGAATATGCATTAATCTATTTTCATACTGCTATGAAGAAATACCCAAGTCTGGGTAATTTATAAAGAAGAAAAGGTTTCTTTACCTACATGGCTGGGAGGCCTCACAATCATGGTGGAAGGCGAAGGTGGAGCAAAGGCGTATCTTACACGGCAGCAGGCAAAGGAGCGTGTGCGGGGGAACTGCCCTTTACAAAACCACCAGATCTCATGAGACTTACTCACTATCACGAGAACAGCACAGGAAAAATCCACCCCCATGATTCAATTACCTCCCACTGGGTCCCTCCTATGACACACCGGAATTATGGGAACTACAATTCAAGATGAGATTTGGGTGGGGACACAGCCAACCCATAACAGAATATAAGCAACATGTGGACAGAGACTTCTTTTTTTCATCCCAGGATCCCCAGGGCCTGCCACGTGGTAGGTGCCCAACCAATATTTGTGGCATGAATGAATGGTAGGTGTAGGTCAGGAAATGAAAACATTTCTAGCAATAGCTGCTCTTATTTTGGTGCCAACAACTGTCACACATCTATGTGACCACAGACCCTGTGAATTAATCATTCTTTTAAATGATTGAATGCTTTATATTTTTTTTCAGAGCAGATTTACTATGCTGGACCTGTCAATAATCTTGGAATTGAAATTCCTCAGGTAAGATATTACTTAATTCCTGCATGAAATACTTTGTTTCTTGAAGAAGGTGAGAAGGAGGAGGGGAAGGAGGAGAAATCAAGAAAGGAAGAGAAGAAAAGAATTAAACAGTTTAAAACGTATAGGTCATCCCTGCAAAAACCCTTTCTTAATAAAACTTCTACTTCACAGTGGGCACTCGAAATTTCTCAACACACTGGCTTTGTCATTTTGGCATTTAACATTTTACGTGTCAGTGAACCTCAGGGAATCCTCCGAGTACAAACCTCCCACTGAGAGGGATGCCGGCGTTTTGTCCAGCAGGATTGCAGCATCTGTGGGGTGCCATATGGCAGTGATGCTGGGCTGTGTGGGCGGCACCATGCAAGCTCTGGGACTGTGCTCGGGAGGCTGGCGCTTCCGAGAAAGGAAGCCGCACAGTCATGAAGGCGTGAAGGTCCCCCAGTTACTGTCCTCGCAGTAACTGTTACTCATGAGCTGCCACTAAGTCAATAAATCCCACATCTTTAGTAGTTGCTGGCAAAGCTCACCGCTAAGAGTAGAATTTTCCACTAATTCCTTTCTGTTCAAGATAATGTGACGTTATTAAATGGCTCAATCTATGTCACTGTGCCATAAGCAATACGTGTCCAATATGCTACCCTGCAGAGAATCTTATGGAAGAACGTGAAAAGGACCACAAAAATGTGATCTTTTTAAAATCATGCTGACGTATTCAGTACATGTGAGATTTGGTTATGTGTATATGATACGTAGTGATCAAGTCAGGGTATTGAGGATGTCCATCACTGAATACATTTTGTTAACTCTAGTCACCCTACTCTGCTATCAGACACTGAATTTATGTCTTCTATTAACTGTGTGTTGTACCCTTCAACCCGCTTCCCTTTATCCTCTCCCTCCTCCTCCCTCTCCACTCTGGTATCTGTCTTTCCACTCTCTATATCCATGTGATCATATGTTTTAGCTCCCACAGGTAATTGAGAATAAGCAATATCTGTATTTGTGCCTGGCTTATTTCACTTAAGATAATGACCCCCAGTTCCACCCATGTTGCCACAAATGACAAGATTTTATTCTTTTTTGTGGCCATATAGTATTCCATCGTGTGCATATACCACATCTTCCTTAGCCATTCATCTCTAGATGGACACTTAGGATGATTCCATATCTTTGCGGTTGTGAATAGTGCTGCAGTAAGCCTGGGGCTGCAGGTACAACGATGAAACCATTTTCAGCGGTTTCGTTTACAGCCTCATGCTTTCAGTTTCCAAAACCTGTATACGGCTGAAGAAAATGGTCTTTTTCTCCATAAAGAATCTCTGACTTAGGGCCGGGCGCGGTGGCTCAAGCCTGTAATCCCAGCACTTTGGGAGGCCGAGGCGGGTGGATCACGAGGTCGCGAGATCGAGACCATCCTGGTCAACATGGTGAAATCCCGTCTCTACTAAAAATACAAAAAATTAGCTGGGCATGGTGGTGCGTGCCTGTAATCCCAGCTACTCAGGAGGCTGAGGCAGGAGAATTGCCTGAACCCAGGAGGTGGAGGTTGCGGTGAGCCGAGATCGCGCCATTGCACTCCAGCCTGGGTAACAAGAGCGAAACTCCGTCTCAAAAAAGAATCTCTGACTTAGTTTCACCGCTGGTTTTGTTTCCTTTCCGTCCTAGCCTGCGGGTCGGGTTCCTACGTCAGAGTGCCATCTTGCTACCATGTCGGATTTCCACTAGCATCGTTCTTGCAGCTGGGAAGTCTTCAGCCTTCTCCCTCTGGAAATGTCTACAGTGTTCCCCTCAGGGCTTTCAGTAAAATATGAAAGCTTTGCAAGAAGAAAAACTACACCTCTCTTTACTTCTAGTATGAGGGGCCTAAACTCTCCCAAAGAGCTCCTTTTTTCTTGAACTCTTTGCTATTTGAATTCTTTTTCTTTCCTCATTTTCCTTCTGACCCTCCTCCCCACTAGAGACTGTCTTAAAATTTACTAACAGTTGACTTTCATTTTTGCATTGCTAGCTTAATTTTAAACCAGTTACTCAGCAACTGTTATAAAATAGAGGGGAAAAGAACTTCTTAAAGTCAGAAAACCCCTTTAAAAGTAAGTTGAGAGTCCAGGCACAGTGGCTCACACCTGTAATCCCAGCACTTTCAAAGGCCGAGGCGGGTGGATCACTTGAGGTCGGAAGGTCAAGACCAGCCTGGCCAACATGGTGAAACACCGTCTCTCCTAAAAATACAAAAATTAACCAGGGGTGGTGGCACACATCTGTAATCCCAGCTACTCAGGAAGTTGAGGCAGGAGAATCCCTTGAATCCAGGAGGCAGATGTTGCACTGAGCCGAGATGGTACCACTACACTCCAGCCTGGGTTACAGAGCAAGACTCCATCTCAGAAAGGAGGGAAGGAAGGAAGGAGAGAAAGAAAAGTTAACCAGATACGTAAAAAGCTTTATTTGAATCACCTGTGGCACGTGAAGAAAGTGAAGAACTTGTGTTCTTCAACCAATAACGGTACTGAAGCAGGTATTTCCCAGTGTGAAGGCATCACATGTGCAGCAAAGACAGCTGGAGGCTTTAATCCCAGTATGGACTCCTACGCTGGCTGCAGATCAGCCACGGCCAGCCCGCAATGCACAGAGGCTTCACTTTCTTAATATAGGACAGACACAGTTCAAAGCCTTTTGGTTGTAAAATACTTGCCTCATATCCCCTTCTCTAACCAAATCCTCCAGAGATGGACTTTGGGCTAATGGCAATTCCCACGTGGCCAAAAACACTCCTACTCAGTGCTCAATTTCCAGTGCCTTGGTATTATTTTCTTCTGAAGTCATCCAATCCTTTGGCCTGGATTGAAGCCCTGCCTGGTGTCCTCTGTCTATACCTGCTATTTTCTGAAGGAGAATTTAGGGTATCCTCTGAACTCCCAAAGCATGTGGACAACTCATAGGCACAGCCTGACCCACGTATTGCCAAAAGTGCACCTACAAATTCCTAACTTGCAAGCTCTGTGCCCTCCTCTATAGCAGAAATGCCACTGCAGTCAGTTCTTCTCTGTCCTGGCCCCCTGGCCTCCCAGCGCACAGCACCACCTGGCTCCAGCCTGACACAGTTGCCTACTCTTATCTCTTATACCAGAGTCTGTGATATCCATAATTCATAATCTTGAACCCTTTCCTTCAAGTACAACAGCTTCTCTTGACTCATAACGTAGTAATGAAATATTCATGTGGTATTCAATAAATTTGTAGGTGTGTGCTTAAATGCACGCAGAGAATTCAAAGAAAAGTACATGAGGAGGAGGAGGAGGATGAAACACAATGAGATATGAACTTGAGCCGGTCTTTACTCATAATTAATTCTCTAACATTTAGACTACTTTGGTTACATTCTTAACACTGTTTCTAAAATCACAGCTGCTCAATATTTGAAGAGTATGATTCATGGGAGCCTCTAGAATCATGGGATCACACCCAAGGTGCCATCCAGTGTACCGCCTGGAGACTCCACTCTCTTTGGAAGCTTTGTTCATTGCTAGAAAGTTTGTCTCTTAACAAAAGCCACCTCTCGTGCTGCTTCTATCAGTGGGCTCACCTACTCCTTCCCTCTTGCTTTGTACAGATTAAACTCCTTTGGGTGACAGGCAGTTCAAAGATGTGCCAGCAGTCTCCTGGCATCCTCTGCCATAGTTCCCCTGCCCTGCTTGCGACCTTCCCGCCACCCCAGAACCTTTTCCTCTCTAGACCGGTGTCTACAAACCCATGAGCGTTCTGTGGCTGCTGGGGTGTGGGGCAAGGACGCTGGCAGCAAACAAAACAGGCATGGCTCTTCTACAGTCCTCATGGGACCCGGCTGTCAGACAGCTTTCACCAAGCTTTCTGCAAAGGAAGGGAGACCTCCACACGGTGTTGCTGCCAGCAAGGAACCCCGAAAGCAGCCATCCTTTCTGTGACGGGCCATTTTGGTTCTGTGCTGGTGAACTGCACTCCCCAGGGTCTTCTCTGTCTCAGCATACAAACCTTTCTCTTTCCAGTCGCTCAGGCTGGGAGCCTCGGAGTCACCTTTAACCTGTCTCTTTCTCTCCCACACACTTGCGTTTCCTCAGCAGATCCCATCAGCGGTTCTTTCCAAATCTCTCTGGCACCCAAACCCTTCCCACACCTCCACCTCGCCTCCAAGTTATCTTCACCTCTCACTGGATTCCTGCGGTCGCCTTCTACCTGGGCTTTTCAGCAAGGCAGCCAGAGGGACTCTACTGACGCAGGCACCAGGCCAGGCCACCCTCTCCTGACCCCAGTCCCTTTCAGGGTGGAAGCTGATGTCCCCATCATGGCCTTTGAGGCCCTGAGAGTCTGACCTGCAATGTCTCCCTGACCTCAACCCCTTCCATCCGCCTTTTCCCGCAGCCCCGCTGGCCTCCTTCTGCCCCTCTAAGGTGGAGGCCCCAGCCCACAGCAGGACTGCACCTTCTCGCATCTGCTTCAGTTCTTTGCCTAAAGATCGTCTTCTCAGCAGGATCTCCTTTCGCCACCCTGCTCAAAATTGCAGGCCAGCACTCGCCTTGACCCACCTAGTGCTCCCGTCCGCTCCCTTGCTGCGTGAGTTCTCTCCATGACATGAGCACCTGACACACCACACATAGTCACATATCATAAGGATGGTCTGTCTCTCCCAGAGATGCTGTAAGCTCCACGGGGCAGGGGTTGGCTTGTCTTGTTCTCACTTTATCCACAGTGTCCAGAACAGCACCCAGCACGTAGAAGATTCTCTGTAAATATTTGTTAAATGGTTCATTACACTGTGGGTTCCACGTCTAATACCTGACCTGTCCCCGTTGCAGGGAGAATACCAGGTTCTGCTGGAACTGTATACTGAAAAACGGTCTACCGTGGCCTGTGCCAATGCTACCATCATTTGCTCCTGACCATGGCCTGTAGCAAAAATCACAACCAGCTCCATCTTATGGGACCTCCAAGCCTCTCCGACTGAATGTACTGCATAGGGAGAAGCAGCCAATGACAGAGAGAGGCCTTACAAAGAAGCCCCCAAAGAGTACAGTTGCTAATTTTAGGGCCAGACATCCCCAGACTAGACATCCCCAGACTCCACAGATGTAATGAAGCCCCCAAATGTATCTCTTTCTAAGGGGCCTCTTGACAGTCCCTAAGCAGTCTCGAGCGTCCATCCTTTTTCTCTAATGGATCACCTCACACCAGATTCACCTGCTTTTCAGTTCCTTAGGAGTGCCTCCTCCCAGTTACCAAGAATAAAGAAAGCTGGCCACCATTGTTCATTGTGGTCAGTTCAAAGAATCTTAGTACAATGCTGTAGTTAAAAAGTCATTTCCTGACGGGCGAGGTGGCTCACATCTGTAATCACAGCACTTTGGGAGGCCGAGGCGGGTGGGTCACAAGGTCAAGAGATCGAGACCATCCTGGCCAACATGGTGAAGCCCCGTCTCTACTAAAAAGTACAAAAATTAGCTAGGCATGGTGGCGTGTGCCTGTAGTCCCAGCTACTCGGGAGGCTGAGGCAAGAGAATTTCTTGAACCCGGGAGGCAGAGGTTGCAGTGAGCTGAGAGAGCACCACTGCACTCCAGCCTGGTGACAGAGCGAGACTCCGTCTCAAAAAAAAGGAAAAAAAAAAAAGAAGAAAAAAAGAAAGTCATTTCCTCTAGATACAGTGCTGGGTGCTGGTGCAGCTTAAGCACTTCCAAGAAATTCAAGAGAATGACAGGCTGCCTAAAATTAGAGCACTGGGAAAATGTGCCATTGCTTCTCCTGGGCAGGCCCCCACCCTTGAACCAGGAAGGTCGAAAAGCTGATGCAACCTCACGAATAGGGACATCCAAATCTCGCTTATCCAAACACTCATTTCACTTTCATCCCCCAAAGCATGATTATACCAACCTCAGCACACAATGGCTCTCATTACTGCATTCACTAATTAATGCAAGGAATAACTGCTGAACACTTTTTTTTTTTTTTTTTTTTTTGCGATGGAGTTTTGCTCTTGTTACTCAGACTGGAGTGCAATGGTGTGATCTTGGCTCATCGCAACCTCCACCTCCCGGGTTCAAGCAATTCTCCTGCCTCAGCCTCCCCAGTAGCTGGGATTACAGGCATGTGCCACCACACCCAGCTAATTTTGTATTTTTAGTATAGATGGGGTTTCTCCATGTTGGTCGGGCTGGTCTTGAACTCCCGACCTCAGGGGATCCACCCACCTGGGCCTCTCAAAGTGCTGGGATTACAGGCATGAGCCACCGCACCCGGCCAAGAACACTTAATGTGTATCAAGAACTGTGTTTGTAAGATGTCTTCTTCAATGTTCTCCATAAGTGAGCATGTTGCCCATCCTACTGCCAGAGCCATTTCTGCAGCCCTGCCTTCTCTCCTGGGATGCACTGATTGCATGGCGGGCTCCATAGCCCCTTCACCATCCAATGCCTCTCCCCTTCCAGTGTCCTTGCTGGCCCTCTTGCTCCTGCTAAGGGGCTGGAGTAAGATGGGTGAACTGACGCTATCATTCATTAAAGTGTCACTATATTAGAGATTAAAAGAGGAAAAATTCCATAGTTTAAAAACCAGCAGTTGCTATTAATCACGATTTGTACATAATTAAACCACCCAGAACAGCAGTTCATAAATGCCTGGTGAATGAGAACTTTAAGACCAGCATCTGGGGTTTCTGGGTTATGAAGAGAAAAAATTACAGCAATGTCCTCCCCTAGGCCCAAGGTGCTTGAGAGACAAGACATGTGTGGCCACGCCAGGCAGGAGCAAATCTCTGAATGGACGTAAGGGTGACAGTGTTACCCACAAGAACAGCAACCTCCACCTCCCGGGTTCAAACGATTCTCCCGCCTCAGCCTCCCAAGTAGCTGGGATTACAGGCACGTGCCACCACACCCAGCTAATTTTGTATTTTTGGTAGAGATGGAGTTTCTCCATGTTGGTCAGGCTGGTCTCGAACTCCGCCCGCCTCGGCCTCTTAAAGTGCTGAGATTACAAGTGTGAGCCACCGCGCCTGGCCAAGAACATTTCATGTGTAAAGGTCCCCTGGCCATTCCCTCTAGCTTGAAACATTCACCCCACTCCCTTTTCAGTAACCGTCACTACGAGTAGGAAAGGCCCTGGCTAGGCTGTGTACGCACATGTTCTAACAGTACCATACAGCTGTCACAGCCTTCCAAAGACACAAGCGGAACTCAGCCAGTCCCTTCCCAATCCCTTTACCCTTTTCTTCAGATTGACTGTGTGGGTATGTGTGCATGAGAGAGAGAGGGAGGGAGAGAGAAAGTTTCAGATGCTAGAGGTTTGTATTAAAGTGGAATTTCCATATATGGAGCCGAACCTAGTCATAGCTTAATATACAAGTACACAGCAGTTTCACTAAGGACATGATTTGAGAGAAAATTTTTTAAAAGCTTATTTGTCCCAGAATACATCTTTTCTTAGTGCCCTGTCATGGGCTTAAATTTCACCATTAGTTTTATTCCAGCAAGTTGAGAACATTTTTCAGTGTCCAGGAGTCTCCTCTTGGAATATGAACAGCCCTGATAGAGAAACGTTGGAGTCGTTGTCACTATTTAACACTCTGGCAGGATGGAGTCACTAAGATGACTCTCAAAGTGCCAGCCCAGGAAGCAGGGGTGTCGGAGGAGGTGAGTGACCCCAAGCCAAGCTCTCTCGGGCTAGCCATTGTGTGGTGCCTGGGGTGGAATCAAAGTGCCTGTACATCTACCAAAGAAAGTAAATTGACTTCTCCTGTAAAGAGAATTGCTACTGTTTCAAAAGTCACTAACAAGAACTCCAAAAATTTGTCCTCAATAAAGTTTTCTGAAGAAGAAGAAAACAGTTTGGTTCAAGATGATCCAGCGCCACCACAATTAAGGAACTGCTGTGCAAATCAGCCAGCTTCAGACGTTTGAGCGCCCACCGACTCGTCTTTATATTTTGAGGGCAATTTCCATTGTTACGTATAGAATGTTTTAAAAATATTTTTCAGGGACATTCCAGTGGCCAAGGGAAGCTTTGTCAGGCTAGAGTCTAGGCAGAATGCTGAAAAGGCCCTCTGGACAGTGTGATCGCATCTCTTAGAATGTTTTGGCTCTGAGGAACAGAGAACTCAGCTGAACTGGCTAATGCCTAGGGGGACTCGGTTGTCTCCCATGACTGCTGGGTCCCAAGGTAATTTAGCCGTCAACCGAAATTTGCTGCTGAGGTTCATGCATCATCAGCCTTTCACCTCCATTTCTCCACAGTTCATCCACCTGGGGTCTCCCGGAATACTGGCTTTAACCTTAGGCAGTCTGTCCTACAATAACAAATCATTTCAGTAACTGAAGACCTCACATCCACACTGTCCATAGTACAGCAGGCAAGAAAGACCTTTATCCTAAAACCCTGTCATTCATTCTGATTAGAATGGCTTGGGTCACGTGATCTCTCCTTGTAACCACATCAAACCAATCTAGTTTAACTTTTATGTAATAAAGTTGTGAGTTGTTTTTCTGTTGCCGTGGACCCCCAGGTTGAAGATTATGTAACCTGAGCATGCCCAAACGTACGACCACAGGGGGAATCTAAGTGCAAGACTAAGGAGTGGAAACTTAAGAAATCAACACAGCCTGTCAGGATCCAAGATCTGATCATATCAGCTTCCAGCATCACCCCATGGCAGGATCCAATCAGATCATACCTCCCAGCATTCCCTCATTGCAAATGCAATCAGATCATGCCTCCCAGCATCCCCTCATTGCAAATCCAATCAGATCATGCCTCCCAGCATCCCCTCATTGCAACTCCAATCAGATCATGCCACCCAGCATGCCCTCATTGCAAATCCAATCAGATCATGCCTTATGACCCCATGCTTATAAAACTAGACCTAAACTCCTACTTGCAGAGACAGGTTGGAGTGTTTCCTCCTGTCTCCTTGCCGGTTGACTTGCAGTATACCTTTTCTTTTCTTAAAAGGCAGTGCCATGGTATTGGCTGCCATGCACATTAGGCAGCAAGCCCATATTGCTCAGTAACATCCTGACCAACCACTTTGGCCCTGCCCTGACTGGCTTAACCTATGTCACATGCCTCACCCCAAGAGCTGGATCAGAGTTATTCCCACGGGAACCACACGTGTTTCTAAGTGGAAACTGGGGGAGTCGCAAAGCAGTAAAGGGAGAGAAAGGGAACGTGGAGTCCAGAGCATGTCTTGAATTAGGCCAGTTTTAAGTTCCAATTCTCCCCTAGTGTTCACTGGGCAAGTGACTTTTATTGTCTAAGCCCCAGTTTTCTCATCTGTAAGTGCTGACTATAGTAATAGGACCTGTCTTGTAGAGACACTGTGAGAATTAATGAGAGGATGCATGTAAAATGCAGAGAAGAGGACCTGGCATGTCACTCAATAAAATGAGTCATTATTATGTTAAGGTGGGTGTTCACCTGTGGTGCGTCCTTTCAGGTGTTCATCTGAAAGCCCCCTTTCCTAATTTATCTCTCTTATCCTCCTATATCATCACAGCAAACAATCCTAGAAGCCCAGCGCTCACCCATAAGCCCACATTCCCTTCTAGGTCCTGAGACACGCTCTTGGCATCTTGATTTCTTCTAAGTGTAGCTAGTTTTATTAGACCTGGCGTGGGGGCATGTTTCCTGAGCCATGAACTCTGAGAATAATTTAAGGGAAACCTTTGGGTATGCATATTCCTCCCCACAAACAGAAACCATATAACCAGGCCAAAAGGGCCTATGAAGGAAAATGTGAGCCAAGCGTGGTTGCTCACGCCTGTAATCCCAGCACTTTGGGAGGCCGAGGAGGGTAAATCACCTAAGGTCAGGAATTCAAGAAAAGCCGGGCCAAGATGGTGAAACCTCGTTTCTGCTAAAAATACAAAAATCAGCGTGGCATGGTTGCACGTGCCTATTAATCCCAGCTACTCTGGAGGCTGAGGCAGGAGAATCACTTGAACGCTGGAGGCAGAGGCTGCAGTGAGCCAAGTTCATGCCATTACACTCCAGCCTGGGCAACAGAGCAAGACTCTGTATCAAAAAAAAAAAAAAAAAAAAGGAAAGAAAGAAAAGCAAATATGTGTGTTTTTAATTTAAACTTGTTTCCTGCACACAAAGACACCCACCCAAGACATGAAGAACTAAATGTGACATCTGCAAATGTAACAATTACATCTGCCTTCAGGAAAAATAACCCAAAATAGCTAGCATGAGGACAGAAAGGGCCACATCCTGATTATAACCCAGACTTGTTAAGGTGGGGAGTTTATTATC